TCCAGAAAATTCTCGAAAATTCCAAAACATTCTAGAAAATTCCAGAAAATTCTCGAAAATTCCAGAACATTCTAGAAAATTCCAAAACATTCTAGAAAATTCCAAAACATTCTAGAAAATTCCAGAAAATTCTCGAAAATTCCAAAACATTCTAGAAAATTCCAGAACATTCTAGAAAATTCCAAAACATTCTAGAAAATTCCAGAAAATTCTCGAAAATTCCAGAACATTCTAGAAAATTCCAGAAAATTCTCGAAAATTCCAGAACATTCTAGAAAATTCCAGAAAATTCTAGAAAATTCCAGAACATTCTAGAAAATTCCAGAACATTCTAGAAAATTCCAAAAAATTCTAGAAAATTTTGGCCCTTGGGCGTCAGTAGTCGGATCCAACGTCAGAATATCCAATGGTCGGGAGATCCTTTGGAAGTAGCCATTGTCTCAGATGTCTCATCATACTGGCGATTCTGCTTCCTTTTATAGCATCTCCTCAGCATATCCACAATTATGCTCTAGATCTGATATGGTGATAAGGAAGTGATCACGCCAAATATGTAGCGTTAACTAGTTGGAGAATTGTGGTTTATGACTATTTGTGTCATTCTAGATATGCTCTAGTATTGTTGGATTCGAGGTCGTGCAGTAGAACCTCTGCTGCCGCGACATTAAAGCTTTGAAGATACTTCATCCAAATAATAACGTTTTTCATTTCAGTGGACATAAAAAATGATACAGTGATCATCATGGATGACTTGTCCGAAAGAATTGGAAAACTTTTGGAAGGAAGAGAGTCAACACTTAAAACAAAAAAATTCTCTATGGGATCTGATAGTCAAAAGAAAATTATGAATATTCTTCCGGCAATTGATGAAAATTCCCTAACGACTATTGAGTTATTGAATCTTTTAAACACGAATTTCAAGACTGTCACAGAAGAGTTCCGATTCGAAGTAGATCAAATATCACAAACCAAACAATGGAAGAGTGCTGAACAATTGATTTCCAAGCATTTGACTATAATAACACCAATTCAAGAGATGAATGTTTTGCACTTTGCTGATTTGGAAATTCTAGTGGAGGCGTTATCCTCTGAAGATGTGGCTTATCTAAAGACAGTGAGTGGTTTTTTTGTGGATATAAATTGTAAGCGCTTTTTTTCCAGAATCTTCTCAAATCTTCATCATTTCAAAAATTCAAAATATCATTTCTCGAATCAACAGTTGATGAATCATTACATACGCTGATTGGACAACCCTATCGTATAGTTTCCGATTCAAACAAAGTGTGGTACTTTCGGATTCCGAATACGGATTGCTATATTCACGTAGTTTTGAATACACATGACGTAGACAACAAGAATCCTAAAGTCATAAGATTTAAGCGAGTTGCAAAAGAAGACACTCCATTTAATTAATTGATTTGAACAAATAAATGATGAATTAATTTATAAATATAATATAATCGATTTACCAGTTTTTAAATTGTTGCTGAATTCAAAATGTTCCTCAATTTTTCAAATGTTTTTTTGAATTGGAAAATTGTTTTTAAAAAATTTAAAGGTGGTGTACGGTGAAATTATTTATTGCAAAAATTACAGAACTTTCTCGAAAATTCCAGAACGTTCTAGAAAATTCCAGAAAATTCTCGAAAATTCCAGAACATTCTAGAAAATTCCAGAACATTCTAGAAAATTATAGAACTTTCTCAAAAATTCCAGAACTTTCTCGAAAATTCCAGAACTTTCTCGAAAGTTACAGAACTTTCTCGAAAATTCCAGAACGTTCTAGAAAATTCCAGAAAATTCTCGAAAATTCCAGAACATTCTAGAAAATTCCAGAACATTCTAGAAAATTATAGAACTTTCTCAAAAATTCCAGAACTTTCTCGAAAATTCCAGAACTTTCTCGAAAGTTACAGAACTTTCTCGAAAATTCCAGAACTTTCTCGAAAATTACAGAACATTATAGAAAATTCCAGAAAATTCTCGAAAATTCCAAAACATTCTAGAAAATTCCAGAAAATTCTAGAAAATTCCAAAACATTCTAGAAAGTTACAGAACTTTCTCGAAAATTCCAGAACGTTCTAGAAAATTCCAGAACATTCTCGAAAATTCCAGAACATTCTAGAAAATTCCAGAACATTCTAGAAAATTATAGAACTTTCTCAAAAATTCCAGAACTTTCTCGAAAATTCCAGAACTTTCTCGAAAGTTACAGAACTTTCTCGAAAATTCCAGAACTTTCTCGAAAATTACAGAACATTATAGAAAATTCCAGAAAATTCTCGAAAATTCCAAAACATTCTAGAAAATTCCAGAAAATTCTAGAAAATTCCAAAACATTCTAGAAAATTCCAGAACTTTCTCAAAAATTCCAGAACTTTCTCGAAAATTCCAGAACTTTCTCGAAAGTTACAGAACATTATAGAAAATTCCAAAACATTCTAGAAAATTCCAGAACATTCTAGAAAATTCCAAAAAATTCTAGAAAATTCCAGAACATTCTAGAAAATTCCAGAACATTCTAGAAAATTCCAGAAAATTCTCGAAAATTCCAGAACATTCTAGAAAATTCCAGAACATTCTAGAAAATTCCAGAAAATTCTCGAAAATTCCAAAACATTCTAGAAAATTCCAGAAAATTCTCGAAAATTCCAAAACATTCTAGAAAATTCCAGAAAATTCTAGAAAATTCCAGAACATTCTAGAAAATTCCAGAACATTCTAGAAAATTCCAAAAAATTCTAGAAAATTCCAGA